AATTTTTTGGACACTCATACCCTCCAACGATCTTGTCATCCTCCCTCAGGGCAACTGCAGATATTAAAAAATAAAAATAAAGAAGTGACAAAAACAGAGGAAATGTTATCAGTGGATTGGCAATCTGTCATTTATTCTGTACTATACCTGCCCCTCCAACGAGAGTGAGTAGAAGGAAAAGCTTCATGCCTTCTGTCTGTCTGTCTGGCCGGAAGATTAATGTGCTCTCACCTGCTTAGTTTCAGGTATTTGAGTCCTCTTATCTCCTTTCTCTCAAGGTCTTCTATCGTCACAGATACACCTCAAACACTAAACATGTGTTACATTTCCCCAGAACACCGGGTTTAATGTACATTATAGAGTTAAAGACAGAAAACAACATTTCAGTTCAGTACTGGAAAAATAACATGGGAAAAACAGCTTGGTAGAGGAAATTGCAAATACTGACATTTGGAATTCCCCTTTGTTAGTATGCTGTAAGTCAGCACACACTGCATGTGTTTATGTTGTTGAATGTTTTTCATGAGATTTTGAGTAATTTCTCTCCTGATTTAATTTCACTGTGGCATCAGTAAATGTTTTATAAAGCTATGTCACCATGATCAGGTTTATTACACAATCTCACACTGGATATGCGAGGTGTACTGACTTCAAGTGAACCACAAACATTCACTTGCGGATGTTGAGTAAGAGGTGTCTGTAACTTAGGTGGGGGCCAAGGTAAAAGTGGGCTATTGCAAATGTGCCATTTTTAAACATCCAAAGAGCCAAGAAATACAGAAAGCATTACCTTACTGTTGTAATGCTCTGCTTATTCCTAAGAAGAAAGAATGCTATGTGTAAACTGTGTTGCAATACAGGATATGAAGATTTTGATTCTGATTCTGAATGTTTTAGAACATTTTACCCTAAAATGTATCTAAGATTTCTCAGGAAATGTGATCAGCATTTTCAGTTTCCTGTTTTTTACAAGTATTGTGTTAGTTGTGTTGGGATCTGTATCTCTGTGGTTTGGGTATGAAATATCAAAAGGAAATAAACACTTTTACTGTTTGGACATTGCAAAAGTCACTGCTGAGTCAATGTGTCAGAATGAAGATGTACTGAGAGGTACAAGGCTCCGTTACTCATGTATAAGCATAGGTGTTTATCAGCACCAGACAGGAAAACATTTAAATGTGAGGGTACATTTAACCAAACCCTATGATTATACACTTAGGGCTAAAATATAACGCATTCCCATCCAGCACAGGCAAGTTCTCCCCTCCTCATTACTGTGTGGCACACACAACGTCTGCCTCATCCCTTTTGCAACCTGCATAAATCATCACTTGTATTCTTTGATTTCAAACAAGTGCAACAACTTGGCACATTATGCAGAGAAACGTACTCTCTGTAAAGATAAAAACATCTCAGGTTGCACATGTGTTCACTGCTGTGATCTTATGTTTGTTCACTTGTTGTGTCTAGATTTCACTAGACCTATGCCATACATGTTCATTAAGTTTTCAATAGTAAACAGACTAGAGGGTATTTAAGTGCCATTTATTAGAGAAAACTAAATTGCCAAAATAGTTAAAATGTGAAACAAATGCGAGTCCCTGCGCCAGTTGCACAGAAATGTCTTTGATAGTCTCACATATGACACCCAGATGCCTGTTTAGTTGCACATCTGCACAAAAGCATTCAGGATGTGATCAGTTGGATGAATTTAGGAGCGAGATAAAAACTTTGCTGCCGTCTCTGCAACCTAAAATTGCCATTGACCTTCAATAATGACCAGAACCGCAGCAATTTCAGCCTTTGTCACCCTAACCCTCAGTTACAATACATGGAAAGGATCAAAACTTCCATTGGTTTCACCATCTGGTGCTCCCAGTTTAACAAGTTCCGGTTGCTAATCCCATTCCACTGTACCTCAAAATATCCTCGGACAGACAGAGGGAGCACTGTGTCAAAGAACTGCATTGCCAGGCTTGTTTGCTGTCTGACAGAGCCCAAGCTGGTTATTCATGTATCCCTTAGGTCTGCTGAGGGGGGACAGGCGTTGTGGTTGAAAGTAGGGACGAATGTAAGGAAGTGGTTTGGGTTATTGAGGTTCAGCTTTTTTTCCCCGTGTGTGGTGTATTTCGTGGAAAAAAACTGTCACTGAGCCATAGGGGCGATAGACGTTGGCACTGGTTTTGACTTGAAAAACAAAATTCCTGACCTCTCCACACTAGTGAGACAAGGGTTTGATTTCCAGTCAACAAGATCAACAAACCTCTGAGGTTTCAGCACACAGCAGATTCCCACTATTTGAGTCTTTATGACAGTGTCTAGAAGTTTCAACACAACAGTTAGTATAGTGTACCACCGTTTCACAAAAGGATTTAGAAATGCTGTGAGCTCACAGTGTTTTGCACTCAACAGCAACGGAAAATACTGGGTGTATAACAGTGACACTCTGAGACAGAGTATGTCATTAGTACTTCAGTGTCCCATACACAGTCTTACATACATTTTAGTTGTGCCTTTCAGGTTTCTCCCCCACCCTCCCAGCTGTTTTAGTGAATAATAAACCCCAAACTCCAACTGCATATATCACCCTCTGCTAAAACCAAATTCCCTTTAAACCTCCACTAGTTGTTTTACACACCCAAATTGGTATTTGCGCGGCATACACATAATTGCACGTTTGGTTGGTAAATCAAGAACTCTGGCAAGCCCTGGGCTCTGAAGGCTTCCCTCAAACTATAGCCTTGGGATAGCTATTAATATCCCCTACAGACACCAGCAAACTGCTCTGCCTTTAAATTCTGTTACAAAACTATACAGGAACAAAAAAACACACACACATTTTAGCACAGAAATGAAAAGTGGAGTATGTATTGCTCGACGTGTTCATAATCAAATTAAAGAGAGCAGTCATAATGTCTAGACCTTAGCTAAAACAGTAGTCTTTTGTGTTAAAAATGGATCCGAACACTTCGCTAAAGCAAGCGATGAAGTTAACTGGGTCAGCTTATTTTAAACTGTTTCCTGTACTTAAAATGAATTGTTTTTGGACCTGGTGTAAAATATCTCTCAGGGCTCACTTGCTGAATATGTACGTATCCAGAGAAAAAGGCAATGATAACACATACAATCCTCCTACACACTCGAATAAGGGTGTTGCTCTGAACTCATGCAGAGACTAAGAGCGAGTACATGGTTACATATACACAGATATGTAGTGTCTCTCACTCTCTCTCACTCTCTCTCTCTCTTCACTTACTTCCTCCCCCTCACATCTGGACTATTGGCAGGACACAGTTCCTGTGTGGTGTGTGTGTACATTAGCAGGGGACTCAGTTTTAAGGTTGGGAAGGTTCTAGCAGCTCACACTGTGCGAATCTGATCCGTTCAAGATTTGGGCCTCATTGTGCTTCACTGTGTGAACAACTGTTGTGGTTTAGATCATGAGAACCACTACCATCACTAAGGTGCTTCTTTGTCTGATGACGTGTTTTTATGTAAAAGTTAGGGGGTTTTATGCCGTTTTGATTCAGCACACATCATTTATATAATGGTTTTATTCTGTAAGTGACAAAATTGTGTGTGTGATGTGCCAACAAGTTCGCTCTCTATGATGTTGAAATGAGAATTGCCAATTCCAATTTATTTGAAATTGAAGCTGGACTAAACCAGCTGTTTTCAGACTCTGTGAAAGATTTTGGCCAAGTGCTTTTCAACATCTGTTTAATTCCCGTTGATGAAGCTGGCTTATCGAGATGCTGTTCAAGCAGGGGCGGATCTAGAGGGGGGGCATGGGGTCAAATGGCATCAAATGTAACATATTAATGTAGATTTTGTTTTAAAATAACGTGTTATCAAAAAAACTTTACTTACTTGTTGGTATTGTTGCTTCAACTTCAGTGTTTTCACAGATTAAAGGGGAAGAAACACATTACTGGACAAGTTGTGTTTTGGAATTTTTCAACGGAACCAAAAAACATTTAACTCACAACCTTGTCATACAGATGTACAAATGTGTGGGCGGTGGCCCTGCTACACCAAGAGTAAAGAGGAACCATGTGGGAGAAAATACCATGAAGTAAAACACTCTGATGAAACATTTTCCCCACTGAAAGGTAGGGCTATACTCTGAGGACATGAGAAGGATTTTCAGACCTCTCCAGTCAACACTCCCCCATGTCCATGCCTCCATCTTGCTTTTATTACTGTATTTTCACAGTTTTCATCTCTTCCAGTTTTCTACTTACACATTTGACCATTTAAACAACAAAAAGGGTTAATTGCATGATTATTATTTTGTTTACAGGTTTGAATCTACAGAGGCACCACTGTAATGTGTCCAGCTTGTAAATGGACAGTGGCACAGAGGGAGTAGCCTGCTATTTTATAAAACTGCAAGGCAACCCTAAATTATCGACAGATGCTGCTGTGACTTTCCTATTCGCAGCGCAGGCTGAAGAGATGGGACATTAAAAATACGCAACCTATGTCCAGATGCCGATCCAACATAGAGCTATTACACTTGACCTCAAGCAAACATGAGCTCAAACCACATAGAGAAAAACACATTACACAGCAAGATCACTGGTGCACATGAGAAGTCGCAGCTCCACTCTTTCTCAGGTAGTCATCTACAACAACCTACAATTTATGCATTTAGTTGTTTGGTTGCTTGGTGTTTTCACTTGTGAAGTTTCCCAAAGGACAAAGGCTGCAGCATTTAAGGAAGACGTGTCCCGGCAAGAGTTTTGTGTCACACTTGCAGGTAAGAGCTCCTATTGAGACAGCAGCATGTATCACTATTATGTCATTGCAGAGGGGATAAACTGAATGTCTGTATGTTACATACACATATACTGCATCTTCATACTGTAGACCAGCTTTAGGCTTTAGGAAATGTAAAAAATATTGAACCTAAACTGAAGCCATGTAGGCCTAATAGAGGAGATTTAATGGCCCTCAAGGGGGGGGGGGCTGGCATGCAGCCTGAGGTCCCGCCTCCAGGTGACATCACTAATTTAAGGAGTCAGGGATCAGAACTCCACAATTCCCGCAGACTAGTCAGACTCGTCTGGTGTTGCCTTTGCAGTGGACCCATCCCCATCGGAGTTGCGAGTTGAGAAAGGTACTGTACTTTAGTTAACCTCAGAAATAGACAATAAACGCATCTGATGACGGCTGTATAGCAGGATCTGGGATTCGAGCCGCCTTTAAGAGACTTGGCTGCTTTTTGAGGTAGACTGATGTCTTTAGGAGCAATTAACGGCGCTAATACTGTGAAATCTAAGCTTTTGTATCTACAGTGCGTAGGAACGCTTTCCTCAGTGCAGCTTAGTGGTTTTCATCCACTTTGGTCTGACTCTGATCATAAGTTCTCAAATTCTGTTCCCCTTTTTGCGTGCCTTGAGGTGAATGTCAATCATGGGTACATTTGTGCGCGGTTTATATGTGCATGTTGTGCAAGACTTCTAGACTTTCCGGTTTGTTTTTTAAACCTCAGCCTAAAAAAAATCTTTAAATAACAGAAAAACAAACTAACTGAATTGTGCAAAATTTTCAGAATGATAAAAACGCAACCAAGTAGGAAAACAAACAAACAAGGAATTGAAGTGGAAAGGAAGAACTTAAGACTTGCTGTGACACCTTGGTCCTATATCCACAGTCCAATAGTAGTGCCTTTTTTTTATTAAAACTGCTGCTTGCGGGACTTGGCTTCTGCAAATGCAGCCACTATGTCTTCCATATCTAAGGACATCCGAACATCTCTCTCTATTGAAATCAGTGCCAGTCCTGTGAGCCTCTCCTGGCACATGGTTGACCTCAAATAGGTTTTGATCAACTTCAAAGCAGAAAAGCTCCTCTCACCAGAGGCAACAGAGACAGGAAGAGTCAAGAGGAGACCCAATGCAATGCTTAGATTACTGTACGGATCCAGAAGGTTTTCACTGTAAATGAAGATCTGTATGGAATAATTAATGAACATCCATTTGCAGTAACAACTTTAATGCTTCATGTTAACATTTTATTTAATGTAACATTTAGGCTATAGCAAAAAAATTATGGATATATAGGATAGGATATACTTTATTTATCCCCAAAGGGAAATTCAGTTGTCCAGCAGCTCACATTTAAAAAACATAATTCCAAATACAAATTAGCACCAGTTTAGACAGACTAAACTGACAGCAGAATTTATGCTGGTTATGTCATTGGCATTGGCAGCAAAGGACTAACTTATTGTGTGGCTATGAATGTGTTTAGAAGAAAATGGCTGAATTCACTTTACACAGACTTTAATGTGCAGTAAACTTTTTTGGTGCTTGGTGGATGACTGGCAGCACTACTTTTTTATAATGTAACACACATAGCTTACACATTCCCACTTACCACTGTCACGTTTTTTTTTTCAACCTCTTCTTGTTTTTTTTGTTTTTTTCTTTTCGTGTGCCCAGAGAGATATGTTCGCTTCATGTTTTTTTATCTGTGTGTTTGATCGGGACCTCACGTCGATGCCGGCTAGTACTAAGGGGGCCCCATTAGGGAGTTTCCCGACGTGTCATTGTAGTGTCTACGGGGGTTTCAAGTTGTGTTGCTGATATGGAGCGATATCAGCCGCCTGTCGGGGCCCCCTACTAGCAACTAGCCAGTGACAACTCGGAAAGGGCCCTGTGCCACTTCTATAGGCCTTTTTTGAGGAACTGAACTAATTGAAGCTAAAATTTCGTTTTCAAGAATGCTCTTAAAATCCTAACTTTTAAATGAAAATTTCAATTAAAAAAATAACCTAACAACCTAAGCATAATTGGGAAAAGGTTAACATTTTTTTTCTTTGTATTGCAGATCTCACGACAATGATGGAGCTAATGACTGCTACCCCTTTCTATCACATCAATGCAACAGATGCCACTGGGAAAAATGGCAGTTTGTATGAAGATGACGAGGAGTATGACTATAAGGACGAGTATTCTGGGGTGAGACAGTCTCTCAACATCATGTCTCTCATCGTTTACAGCCTGGCCTTTGTTCTTGGTGTACTCGGGAATGGAGTGGTGATCTGGGTGACCGGGTTTAAGATGAAGAAAACAGTTAACACAGTTTGGTTCCTCAACCTTGCCATTGCTGACTTCCTCTTCACAGCATTCTTGCCCCTGAGTGTGACGTACACAGCTTTGGATTTCCACTGGCCTTTCGGCAAGTTCATGTGCAAACTGAACAGCACTATAAGCTTTCTGAACATGTTCGCTAGTGTCTACATTCTGGTGGTGATCAGTGTGGACAGATGTGTCTCTGTGGTGTGGCCCGTCTGGGCCCAGAACCACCGAAGTGTACGCAAGGCGTCCTGCGTGAGTCTGGGTGTTTGGATGCTGGCTCTGATTCTCAGCGCTCCATACTTCATCTTCAGGGACACAGGGCCATCATATAACAATGAAGACATCATCAACTGCTTCAACAACTTTGCTTTTTCTGATGATTATGAAACACAGTCTGTGAATCAGCTGCGTCAATTTCGTCATCAGGCCATGACCATTACTCGCTTCCTCCTGGGCTTTGTGGTCCCCTTTACTGTCATTGTCTCCTGTTATGCTGTCATAATCCATCATCTCAGAAGAAACCGCACCCTGGCCAACCAATCAAGTCGCCCCTTAAAGATCATTGCCACCGTTATCACCACTTTTTTCCTGTGCTGGGCTCCTTATCACATCATGGCTCTAATTGAGTTGGTAAATCACATGGCTACTCATGCAAGTGAAACATTACACCATGTCATCACTATCGGAGTCCCCATAGCAACCAGCCTGGCCTTTCTCAACAGCTGCCTGAACCCACTGCTGTATGTGTTCATGGGTCAAGATTTCAAGGACAAGGTCCGCAAATCCATCCTGAATGTACTGGAGACTGCCTTCCAGGAGGAGGTTTCTCGCTCTTACACCTACACAAACTCAATGGTCACCATTCGGAGCAAAGAAAAGTCCTTTTCTGATGCTGAGGTATAAGGTTGTCCATGACATGAAGACACAAATACTGTAACTGTACATAGAAAATGTAACTGTATATAACAAATAACTTTTTGCTTAGCTTTTGTTGTTTTGCTTTTTTATTCAGGAAGCCTCAAGGCGACCTGTACACATGATCTCAGACTGAAAGGTTTCAACTGTTACAGTTTGATTCATATGAATTTTATGATTGGCTATTTAATCAGTTAACTTCCCTTACAGTACTTTCAGTGCGGAGTAAACACAAGGTAATACTGTATGACTGTATGTAATACAGTTGGCCGCACTTTAACTCACAGCAGTACAGTCTGTACCATATTAGATCTGGTGGATATGTAATGTGCAATCGTTTTTGACAGAAGTGAAATCAAGTGAAGTCAAATTAGGTATTATATTTGTTCAACTTGTGCATCATATTTTGTTGACAAAGGGAACTTGTTCTTCATCTATCACATCCAGTCCAGATGTTGATTACTGCAGTATGTTCCTGCCTGTATGTGTCAGCAAAGAAAACAAGCAACCGCATGCAATTCTTGCCATAGAATATATTTGGCTGTAACCTGGAAGAGGTTTAAGAGGTAAACTGCTATTTGTCTTGTGGATGACAAAACTGAGCACATGACAGTAACCACAAAGGCCATCTTTGAGCACATGAAAGTGAAGCAGCCAGTTAAACTACTAGATTTAATATAACAAATGTTGTCTATATAGTAATTTTCATTAGGTTAATCCGTCTGTAATGTCTGTTTATTATGCTGACAACACCATAGCAATTGATTCAACTGCTGCATGCTACATGTTATTTGTTATTCAGCACAATGAGGTTAATGTAAGCCTAATACATATGATTTTGACTATAAGATTATTATACATAAAGTAGCAGCTGCATTGTATACTTGGCTTTGTTTGATTTTCTGATCATTGTTAGTTGTTTTGGGGGTGTGTCTCCAATCACTCTAAGTAAATGCATGTTGTACCATAATCAATTAATTTAATGTATTATTTTGTCCCTGATTGTTTTGTTTATTTCTGAGGTGGAATTAAAGATTATTTTCATTATCTACCAGTTTTTTCTTCTCAACTTTCTCTCAAAAAACAAAAAAAATGTTAAAATTGTCCTCCCCAGCTTCCTAGAGGCCAACCTGACAACTTAAGTGGTTTGTTTTGTACGACCCACAGCAAAAAACCCAAAGATACCCATTTTACTAACAAAAAAGACAAAGAAAGGTAATTTTTTTTACATTTTTGCCCCAAAAATAACTTAAAAGATCATTAAATTATCAAATATTATACAAACAAATTTCCTGTTGATAAACTAATCTAATTGAGAAAATGTATGGCACACTTATTCTATGTACTGTATAACTTTGACATATGGCATGTTGTGATATAGCTCAATAAAATCTTTATTCTAATGTAAACAGTGTAAATTATGTTTTATAATTATGTTTTTTACCCCAAATGACCAACTTTATAGTAAGAGTCCATAATGGAGGTAATTATGATGACTGTCACTGTAATTCTTGTTGTTACCATTATTGCCATGATTAAAATCTGACACGGACTTGACCTTTTTCCACTCATAATGTACATTTCATAATCACCAACATAGAGAGATATGTGTGTCTACCACATACACAACTCTGATGTAACATCTGATATGAGTATAGAGACTTGGCCACTAGAGAGGATTGTGTAACACATCAGATGCTTCTCAGATCAAGGAGTTTAATGTCATTTAAATGTTTTTTGTAATGTGTTTTATGATCACCCTGAAGATGCCGGAGCGAGTTGGTCTCACAATAAAATTGTTCAATTTTTCCATGTTTCAGAGGAAAAACACACTGGAGCACACTGACTGATTTACAGACTTTAAAAGTGCAAACAGTGCTACAAATCTGTTTGCACTATTAATAGCTGCAAATCAATCAGCATGTCCCAGTCCTTTTAAATGCATTAAAGTCAAGTAGTCAGGAAATGGTTAAATCATAATTTATTATTATGTATGAATACTTACTATAGGCTTGTTGTGCCAACGTCAGTTATTATCATATAGCTTTTATATCATGTCCTATAAGCCTAATGAACTCAGTTCATAGTAACATGTATAGTTTAGTTTGGACATGAATGTAAATGTATGATAACTTCTCTTTAAATTTACATCTTTACACTAATGGTGTAAGCAGAGTGTTTGGTAGTCCTCTCTGGCATTATAGTTGCAGCTTCAATTTAACAAAGCTGTTTGGCAATTACTGACAAATTCTGCTTACACTTCCCTGTAATATGGTGCAGGGTGGAGACAGAAGACACTGAAATATCTATACATGTGCAGATTGATTCAGCAACACTGACGAAGTTATAGCTGCTGCACCAACGAGTATAATGTACTATTGTGTGTATTTTGCTGTTTAATCTATCAGTAAAGACACACTTTTGTTTGGGTTTTTGGGTGCGTACGCCTCTTCCTCGACGTGTCGGTGACGTCATTACTACGCCAGTATTTAATCTATTAATCGGTCAGTTTGATTATTTCTGCAACGGATTCTTCCTCAATCGCCTGTTGATCGTTGAGAAGGTACGTGAGGTTTCTGTTCTCATAATTTAATACATTCTGTTTTTACGCAAATTAACCCAACAAGGTTGTTAAAAAACAAAAAAACACTTTTGGGGGTACAGGAATATTTTTATATTAAGCAATTAAGTAAAATGAATTTAAAAAAGCTAAAACAGGTTATTTTCAGAGAGTTTGCTGCTTTTCTGGGTCAATAATGATTTTGATATTGAAAACAGGCTACTGTCAAACGCATGTATTAGTGTTGATTGAGCTGTTTGTGCTGTTCACGGCAGGTTCAGGTGGATTTATTTATGTATGAACTAATCATTAGCCTACCTAATGATTCCTTAATATAGGATCTCCCAGTCTGTTCTCTAGCAACTCATTATTATCTATAGTCCTACATTAGGAATTATTACTGTTAATAACAGTAACTATTGATTAACGATTCATCAATGATCCTCCTCACTCATTTCTTAATTAACTAATCATTAGCTACTCTAAAAAAATTGATTAGGAGTAGTGTTGCTTTCGTCAACGAAAATTATGACTAAATAACGTCGTCAACGAACCTTTATCACGTGACCGAAACGAGACGAGACGCAACGTGAATGGTGGTCACGTGACGAAAACTATAATCAAATATATAATGCAATATTGTTGACGAATAAAAACGGGATTAAATGTGGTTTGCAAAATAAAAACTCTGCTAAAATATCACTTCATTTTCGTTGACCAAAACGTGACGACACAAAATGTTATAACGTTATTTTGTCTCGCTATTATTATTATTATTATTATTATTATTTTGAAATATTTCTGTTTCCTGAGTCTCGGGGCTGCATCAGCGCACTGCGCAGACGCAGGCTGCGTCACTTCCTCAATCCCCACTCGCGGCATTATTTAGAAGATGCAGCTGCAGCTCGAGCAATCCAGCACCTTGTTTCTCTTTAAGTTAAACTTGAAGGAAATTTACATTTTTTTCTGGCATTGTCATTTGAAGCTATTTTATTTATTTATTTTATGTAAATTTATGTGTGTGTACTTCTTAGTACATGTTTGGTAGGTGAAATAAATATGTTGTAAATTCAAATCAGAGCGTCTTCCGTGTCTGGAATTGAATGTATTCTTGAGTCTATAAGGTAACAATAATATAATAATACGATAACCTTGTTTGACTTGTGAAATGGGTGACTTAAAGAAAATGTTGGTTTTGTCTATACTATACTGGGTACTTGTACTATATTAACTGGGTTAAATAGAATTACATTACTAAAAAGAGACTAAAATACAATTTTCATTGACTAAAACTAGACTAAAATGTCATCAGTTTTCATCGACTAAAACTAGACGAAAATAGTCATGGATAATTCTGACTAAAATAAGACTAAAATGCTCAGACTTTTAGTCGACTGAAACTTGACTAGACTAAAAAGAGTGTAAACGTGACTAAACTAATAAAAACTAAAATGACAGTTTGACACAAAGACTAGACTAAAACTAAAATTAAAACAGGCCGCCAAAAACAACACTAATTAGGAGTCATTAATTAATTGTTCACTAGCGGTTAGTTTCTCATTCGTCTGTTGCTTGGTAACTACTCAAACTTTTTTTGTCCTTTATTGTCAAGTATTTGTGTTTGTTAATAATAATAATAATAATAATAATAATGAAAGATGCTATAACTTATCATATATTTGTGAGGTGTAAACAAAAAAGCAGAGGCGGTCCTAACCTGCCTGGGGCCCAGTGCAAAATTCTGCTACGGGCCCTCCTGCCCACTGACAGTATGAGCTGCTACCTGACCCATGAGAAATGTAAAGTATGTGTCTTTGCCACAGAGTCACACCCGACACCACAGTGCTGCCACTACTTCTTTAAAACACGTTGCTCCATCTGTCAGTTTCAGAATAAGTAGACGTATATAGAACAGAATGATTTTTATTGAATAGAATATTTTCCATAGAATCTTAAGATAAGTGAATATTAACAATATAAATAAGAAATTGTGGAACATTTCTATAGACTTGCATTTTCACAGCAGACTGATAATTATGTTGAACTTTAAGTTAAAACTTTCAGAGCTAAGCAACATTTTTTCAAACACTTTTAGTTTACAAGAATATATAAAACTTTGCTGTTCCAGTCATATCTAATCTATAACAGTGTATATATATACACTAACATGGTCTCTTGCATCATTTTCTCATTACAGACTGTCTTGACATCTATATTGGTAAAATAGGTTAAAAAAAAGAAAAGCTCATATTGTTTTTTTATGTTTCCATTGCAGGTCTCATGGCAATGATGGAGATGAACGCTACCACTTCCAATAAAAACAATGCAACAAATGACAGTCAGTTTATTGACGAGTATTCTGGGGTGAGACAGTCTCTCCACATCATGTCTCTCATCATTTACAGCCTGGCCTTCGTTTTTGGTGTACTCGGGAATGGAGTGGTGATCTGGGTGACCGGGTTTAAGATGAAGAAAACAGTTAACACAGTTTGGTTCCTCAACCTTGCCATTGCCGACTTCCTCTTCACAGCGTTCTTGCCCCTGACTGTGACGTACACAGCTTTGAATTACCACTGGCCTTTCGGCAAGTTCATGTGCAAACTGAACAACACTATAACCTCTCTGAACATATTCGCCAGTGTCTACATTATAGTGGTGATCAGTGTGGACAGATGTATCTCTGTGGTGTGGCCCGTCTGGGCCCAGAACCACCGAAATGTGCGCAAGGCGTCCTTTGTGAGTCTGGGTGTTTGGGTGCTGGCTCTGATTCTCAGCGCTCCACACTTCTTCTACAGGGACACAGGGCCATCATATAACAATGAGGATATCATCAACTGCTTTTACAGCTTCGCCCTCCCTGATGATTTTGAAACACCTTCTGTGATTGAGCTGCGACAATTTCGTCATCAGGCCACAATCATCCCCAGCGTCATCCTGGGCTTTGTGGTCCCCTACACTGTCATTGTCTCCTGTTATGCTGTCATAATCCATCGTCTCAGAAGAAACCGCACCCTGGCCAGCCAATCAAGTCGCACCTTTAAGATCATCGCCACCGTTATCACCACTTTTTTCCTGTGCTGGGCTCCTTATCACATCATGGCTCTAAGTGAGTTGGTAAATCACACGGCTACTCATGCAAGTGAAACATTATTCCATGTCATCACTATCGGAGTCCCCATAGCAACCAGCCTGGCTTTTCTCAACAGCTGCCTGAACCCACTGCTGTATGTGTTCATGGGTCAAGATTTCAAGGACAAGGTCCGCAAATCCATCCTGAATGTACTGGAGACTGCCTTCCAGGAGGAGGTTTCTCGCCCTCACGCTGAAACAAAGTCAAAGGACACCAGTCAGAGCAGAGAGAAGTGGATGCATAACACTGATGTGTAAGATTGTGTATGACAGGAAGTTAAACTGTAATTTTGACAGAAATATAAATGTATATAAGTGATATATCAGTAGTTTGCTAACTGATCAGTAATGCCTCTAACTATACCATTTACATTTTAATAATAATATTTTTTCCTGATGCCTTTTGTGGGCTAAACCTTTGCTGAACAAGGTAGTAGTGAAATGTTTTTATCATACAGAGCAAATGGCCCTAGATAAACAGTCCTGTTGTTACCTGCTCTCTGACCTTTTTTTGTAGGATAATTTTCACCACGTAAATCACCATTGAATGTATATTTCTTACAGTGTACTGAGCACCTGCATCCCATCAGTCTACGTTGTTGCCATCCATGTAGAGACACCAGAAAAGTGTTTCACCTAAATCTTGACTTCTGGTTTGATAAACCTCACAAAACACTGAGTAGTCACTCAATACAGAAAAAGAGATATGTGTGTCTACCACATACACAACTCTGATGTAACATATGATATGAGTATAGAGACTTGGCCACTAGAGAACATTGTGTAACACATCAGATGCTTCCCAGATCAAAGAGTTTAATGTCATTTAAATGTTCTTTGTAATGTGTTTTATGATCACCCTGAAGAAGCCAGAGCGAGTTGGTCTCACAATAAAATTGTTCGATATCACAAGTGTTGCTTGAGTTTTGTCCTCCTCAGATGTTTTCCCTAGGAAGTAGGTAAAGTTGTGCCAGAAATCCCTACTTTGCTTCTCAGATCAACCACAGAAAACTTCACTTCAGAGGAAAAACACACTGGAGCACACTGACTGATTTACAGACTTTAATAGTGCAAACAGTGCTACAAATCTGTTTGCACTATTAATAGCTGCAAATCAATCAGCATGTTCCAGTCCTTTTAAATGCATTAAAGTCAAGTAGTCAGGAAATGGTTAAATTATCATTTATTATTATGTATAAATACTTACTATAGGCTTGTTGTGCCAAAGTCAGTTATTATCATATAGCTTTTACATCATGTCCTATAAGCCTAATGAACTCAGTTCATAGTAACATGTATAGTTTAGTTTGGACATGAATGTAAATTTATGATAACTTCTCTTTAAATTTACATCTTTACACTAATGGTGTAAGCAGAGTGTTTGGTAGTCCTCTCTGGCATTATAGTTTTATTTTGTTTGACATAATCTACAAATAAAGATATTTGTGGACCAAAACTATGCTGCTAAAAGTACAAGTAAGAGCAGTCAATTAGAGCTGTGAATGCACCCTGGCATACCCTCTTTAGTGTGTGTGCGTGTGTGTGTGTGTGTGTGTGTGTGTGTGTGTGTGTGTGTGTGTGTGTGTGTGTGTGTCTGTGTGTGTGTGGAAACTTTGTGCTTAGTCAAACTTATTACTTAACATATTTGTAATTGCCAACTGCAATGGCAGATGTCTTTTTTTTTTTTTTTGAGAAAAGCAACTGGAATCAAGATTACGAAAGAGGATTCAGACTAGAAGGAAAACCCTGTGGTCAACCTAGACTTCTGCATTTACTAGAATACTAATATTGATCACAATAATGTGTCAGATAAAGATATATTCTCCCTTCAGATCTCTTTTGCTTGCAGTGGTAGGCATACAGATGGAGCGTAGTTGCAGCTTCAACTATGCAGATTCAAGGTGAAAGCAGGGACTTCACTGCTATTTCACTAAGCTGTTTGGCAATTATTGACAAATTCTGCTTATACTTCCCTGTAATATGGTGCAGGGTGGAGACAGAAGACACTGAAATATCTATACATGTGCAGATTGATTCAGCAACACTGACGACGTTATAGCTGCTGCACCAACGAGTATAATGTACTATTGTGTGTATTTTGCTGCTTAATCTATCAGTAAAGACACACTTTTGTTTGGGTTTTTGGGTGCGTGCGCCTCTTCCTCGACGTGTCGGTGACGTCATTACTACGCCAGTATTTAATCTATTAATCGGTCAGTTTGATTATTTCTGCAACGGATTCTTCCTCAATCGCCTGTTGATCGTTGAGAAGGTACGTGAGGTTTCTGTTCTCATAATTTAATACATTCTGTTTTTACGCAAATTAACCCAACAAGGTTGTTAAAAAACAAAAAAACACTTTTGGGGGTACAGGAATATTTTTATATTAAGCAATTAAGTAAAATGAATTTAAAAAAGCTAAAACAGGTTATTTTCAGAGAGTTTGCTGCTTTTCTGGGTCAATAATGATTTTGATATTGAAAACAGGCTACTGTCAAACGCATGTATTAGTGTTGATTGAGCTGTTTGTGCTGTTCACGGCAGGTTCAGTTGGATTTATTTATTTATGAACTAATCATTAGCCTACCTAATGATTCCTTAATATAGGATCTCCCAGTCTGTTCTCTAGCAACTCATTATTATCTATAGTCCTACATTAGGAATTATTACTGTTAATAACAATAACTATTGATTAACGATTCATCAATGATGAACGAATCATTAGCTACTCTAAAAAAAATTGATTAGGAGTCACTCATTAATTAATTGTTCACTAGCAGTAAGTTTCTCATTCGTTTGTTGCTTGGTAACTTCTCAAACATTTTTATCCCTTATTGTCAAGTGTTACCGGTTTATTTTCTAGAGGTGGAAATTACTCATCTTGGCTGATTCAAATCATTTTGTTCAGTTCAGTACTATGTTCACTTTTTTCTGAACTAAGTGATCACCTCACTATTAAAATGCACTTCAATACAATTTCAGAATTAGTTGGTTGGTTATTATTATTATTATTATTATTAATAATAATAATAATAATAATAATAATAATAATGAAAGATGCTATAACTTATCATATATTTGTGAGGTGTAAACAAAAAAGCAGAGGCGGTCCTAACCTGCCTGGGGCCCTGTGCAAAATTCTGCTACGGCCCTCCTGCCCACTGACAGTATGAGCTGCTACCTGACCCATGAGAAATGTAAAGTATGTGTCTTTGCCACAGAGTCACACCCGACACCACAGTGCTGCCACTACTTCTTTAAAACACGTTGCTCCATCTGTCGGTTTCAGAATAAGTAGACGTATATAGAACAGAATGATTTTTATTGAATAGAATATTTTCCATAGAATCTTAAGATAAGTAAATATTAACAATATAAATAAGAAATTGTAGAACATTTCTATAGACTTGCATTTTCACAGCAGACTGATAATTATGTTGAACTTTAAGTTAAAACTTTCAGAGCTAAGCAACATTTTTTCAAACACTTTTAGTTTACAAGAATATATAAAACTTTGCTGTTCCAGTCATATCTAACCTATAACAGTGTATATATATACACTAACATGGTCTCTTGCATCATTTTCTCATTACAGACTGTCTTGACATCTATATTGGTAAAATAGGTAAAAAAAAGAAAAGCTCATATTGTTTTTTTATGTTTCCATTGCAGGTCTCATGGCAATGATGGAGATGAACGCTACCACTTCCAATAAAAACAATGCAACAAATGACAGTCAGTTTATTGACGAGTATTCTGGGGTGAGACAGTCTCTCCACATCATGTCTCTCATCATTTACAGCCTGGCCTTCGTTTTTGGTGTACTCGGGAATGGAGTGGTGATCTGGGTGACCGGGTTTAAGATGAAGAAAACAGTTAACACAGTTTGGTTCCTCAACCTTGCCATTGCCGACTTCCTCTTCACAGCGTTCTTGCCCCTGAGTGTGACGTATCTGGCTTCGAATTTCCACTGGCCTTTCGGCAATTTCATGTGCAAACTGAACAGCACTATAAGCTTTCTGAACATATTCGCCAGTGTCTACATTCTGGTGGTGATCAGTGTGGACAGATACGTGTCTGTGGTGTGGCCCGTCTGGGCCCAGAACCACCGAAATGTGCGCAAGGCGTCCTTTGTGAGTCTGGGTGTTTGGGTGCTGGCTCTGATTCTCAGCGCTCCATACTTCTTCTTCAGGGACACAGGGCCATCATTTGTGGATGGAGACATCATCAACTGCTTTAACAGCTTTGCCCTCCCTGATGATTTTGAAACACCATCTGTGATTGAGCTGCGACAATTTCGTCATCAGGCCACAACCATCACCCGCGTCATCCTGGGCTTTGTGGTCCCCTACACTGTCATTGTCTCCTGTTATGCTGTCATAATCCATCGTCTCAGAAGAAACCGCACCCTGGCCAGCCAATCAAGTCGCACCTTTAAGATCATCGCTGCCGTTATCACCACTTTTTTCCTGTGCTGGGCTCCTTATCACATCATGATTATAATTGAGTTGGTAAATTTCACAGCTACTCATCCAAGTGAAACATTATTCCATGTCACCACTATCGGAGTCCCCATAGCAACCAGCCTGGCTTTTCTCAACAGCTGCCTGAACCCACTGCTGTATGTGTTCATGGGTCAAGATTTCAAGGAGAAGGTCCGCAAATCCATCCTGAATGTACTGGAGACTGCCTTCCAGGAGGAAGAAACAAAGTCAACAGACACCAGTCAGAGCAGAGAGAAGTGGATGCATAACACTGAGGTGTAGGATTGTGTACATATTGTGACAGGAAGTGAAACTGTACAGTCACTTGACAGAAATTTAAATGTATGTAGGTTAGCCAAATGCCACTAGATAAGCAGTCCTGTTGTCACTCACAATAATTCTTTTTTGCTCTTTTTTGCACGTAAATCACCATTGAATGTATATTTCTTACAGTGTACTGAGCACCTGCATCCCATCAGTCTACGTTGTTGCCATCTATGTAGAGACGCCAGAAAAGTGTTTCACCTAAATGTTGACTGCTGGTTTGATAAACTTTTTTTAAATTATTATTGCAAGGAGAGGCTATTGCAGTCTAATCAATAAACATGGAAGTTAGTATAATCTTATGGTTTTATTTTTGTAATGTATTGTTTGCTTGATTTTGGTGTCCATCATTAACCTTAACCGTGGGACAACATAGAAACGGAGAAAAATGTAATGACACTTATTCTCAGCGTAAGACTTTAGGCCTGAATATTGTTGTTACCTGTCCATAAAAGCTTTATTGTGATTTTAATGTTGTTTGAATTCTATATGAAGACGATGATGATGATGTTATTGTTGTTTCCAGTACTATTATTCTTTTCCATTAAATACAAAATATTTGGACTTTACTGTTTTCAACTCATTGTGCCTAATGTATATTCACTGCTTCATTTCACAAAATACTGATACATACTGCAGATGGTTGTTGATAGACTTTCTAATTATTATAGACTTTGTTCATAATATTAATTGACCAGCAGGAAACTGTTTTAGATATTTAAGTATTTTGCGAGTTCAAAAGGGGTTCTCCATGCAACACTCTGCCACAGGATCAGATGCTTCTCAGACCAAGGACAAGGCATGAAAGCATTAAGCTAAAAATTAATCAGTATAATTTTCAGACTTTAGCACAACGAACACACAAACAAAATGATTTGTTGAACTACTTGTGCTATTCGAGGTTGTAAATCAGTTAGTGTGCTCCAGTCTTTTTTCCCTTCATGAGAATATATAAGTCAACAAAGTCAGAATCAGAATCAGAATTAGGTTTATTGCCAAGTAAGTTTTTACACGAGGAATTTGTCTTGGTACATAAAATATACAAATATACAAATCACACAAAAAATAAAGTATAATAGTATAAGAGTTCACCTTCTCAGCAGATCGAATGATACGCAGTCTGCCCTTATCCTTGGATGGTGATGGAAGTGGGTACTTCATTAGTCAGTTACGACTTTCTATGAATATTTGAATATATATGAGTGGGCCTGTTAGTCAGTTATAATCAGTAGTTTTTAAAACGCTTCCTATTTTTCTGATAATCTAATTTGTGTAACTTTTATATACGTTTGTTTTATTTGTGATACCGTTTGGAGCATTTGGAAAGGAAAACTCATGAAAACATTTCAATCCATCTGTATAATTTTATACTTTTCTGTGTGAACATTTTTTTTTAATTGTTAAATTAAAAACGGTAGACATTTAGTTGTGAATGTATTTGATTTGTTTGACTGATAATAAGGTACTGCCAGTAGTGTTTGGGGGATTGGGGGATTTTTTTCAAACCAACAAGCAGTTGCTCAACTCAAAAATAGCACGTCACATGAGTTTCTAAATTTCATAAGAAATCTGACTAATAGTGATAAAATATGCTGACAGGAAGGAAACTAATGTAGATAACTACCAATACTTGCACCATTCAGGCATCTATGTGATTGTAACCCACTGGACGTGCTGAGGCCTCCCTACACACCCAGAGACTCTGCGTTGTGTTTATGGTTGTGATAGGGTGTATGCGCGGGGAGGGAAGAGAAGCACTGGAGACAGGAGTTCTGGATTGTGGCTGAGACCTGGAGACACTTTATTGGCACACATTGACAGCTTTCACCTCTGGTCCTCTAGACTGGCTGCTGGCTCCATCACCCTTACAGGACAATGAATGAAAACATTTAACCAAGATGGCGTCCCGCACAGCATGAATAACCCAACTACAGTGTCACGTAAGGGACAAACTCCAACATTTGCTGTATTCACAGAAGAATAGAGAGCGTAACATTGTCACCCTGTGGAGTATTTAGGCTACTACCTTACATCTACCCCTTGTTTAATTGATGGTGTCCCAGCCATCAGACCAAACAGAATAAAACAAATGAAAGACCCTCTAAAACACAAATTTAGAACACTTACACTGAAGATGATGTATGAATGACCCGTGTTACACAGAGAATGTGTGTGCAACTCCCATCAAAGTGAATAAACTAGCTCTGATTTTATTACATGTGCCCTGATGTTCTTTTTGCTTTGGCCCTCTGCCACAATGTCCACCCTCTCTCTATTTTCCGCTGATCCTCTTCTGATCTCATCTCACAACTTGTGACTCAAAAGACAGTCTCTTGGGGGGATGTCGATTTCTCCGAGGGTTCCTCCTTGGAATGCTGGGCCTGTGAAGTGTGTTAGCGTCCCTGACCGTTATGTTCTCCTCCCCTCCTTGACTCATTTGTCCCGCCTCCACTTCCAATTCCTCTCTTCCTGTGTGTTCCTCCAGCCTGTTTATTGTCCCAGGTAAGTCTCCCCCTCAGTTTCCTCTGTGTCATCCTCCCAATCCTCCATAATGTCTGACTCAACTCCCTCACTTGTCACTGCACCGACCTGCTCCACTGGAAGAAACATACATTGCGTAAGGAGGTTGCGGTGGACCACTCTCTCTGTATCACCATCCTCTTTTCGCACCACATACACAGGTATGCCGGGTTGCTTCTTTACCACAATGTATGGCCGTGACTCCCATCTGTCTCCCAGTTTCTGCCGTTCCTCCACATGACATACATTGACCAGGACTCTGTTCCCCGGGCTGAAAACTAGACTCTTTGCTTTTTGGTCATAGTACTTTTTCTGCTGTCCCGTAGCATGCCGGGAGGCCTGATTAGCCTGGGTGTAGGCTTGTGACAGACAGTCATGCAGGGTCTGGACATATTCGCTGTATCCACATGGCTCATTGGTGGTAGAAAGCCCAAAAATCAGGTCAACTGGAAGCCTGGGATGTCTACCAAACATCAGGTAGTACGGTGTGTATCCAGTTGAATCATGTCTGGTGCAATTATAAGCATGTGTCATTGCATCCACATACTCGTGCCAACAGGGTTTCACGTGAGGCTCTAATGTCCCCAGCATGTCCATGAGGGTCAGGTTGAACCTCTCAGTGGTCCCGTTGCCCTGAGGGTGGTAGGGGGTTGTGTGTGTCTTGGCGATACCAGTAGACTTACACAGCTTCTTCACGACAGCACTTTCGAAATTGCGCCCTTGGTCTGCATGCAATTTCGCTGGGAATCCAAACCAACAGAAGAAGTTACACCATAGTACCTTAGCCACTGTACAGGCTTTTTGGTCTTTAGTGGGATAGGCCTGGGCATAGCGGGAGAAGTGGTCAGTAACAATGAGTACATTTTCTATGCCCCCCCTGGATTTCTCCAGAGTCAAAAAGTCCACACACACAAGCTCCATGGGGGCACTGCTGTGGATACTGACCAGGGGAGCCCTGAGGCCTGCAGTTGGAGTCTTTCTGAGACAGCACCTCTCACACTTCTCACACCAAGCCTTGATTTCCTGGAACATCTTTGGCCAGTAAAATCTCTCCCTTATCATCTGCAGTGTCCTCTCAAATCCTAAGTGCCCTGAGTCATCATGAAGAGCAGTCTTGACTGATGTATGAAACTTCTCCGGCAGTACCAGCTGCTCCACTGCTCCTCTTTGGCAGTTTCGGACACAACGGTACATGATGCCATCCCTTATCACTAACCTCCGCCACTCTTTTATGAGAAGGCAAACTTGCCCACCACCACTGATCCTCTCGCTACGGCTTGAATTTTGGTTCACACTTTTAAAGTGCAAGACAGAGCCAATTACAGGATCCTCCTTTTGCCCTGCACGAATCTCCTGTTTTGTCAAGGCAGGCAGTGACTCCATCCCAACATCCCTATAGGGCTCACTGAGCGTGTGCGACTGAGGCTTTGGTTCCTCTGAGACAGAAGTGTCACCATCTGAGGAGCTTTCCAGTTGTTGGGTGGGTTGTTTCTCTCTGTGCCCGTTCATTGGCTCTCACACATTGAGGGCAGGTATGTAGGACTTGGGTGACCTCCTGGTTGGACATGCGGGAGAGGGCATCAGTGTTTCCATTACTGCGTCCCCTTCGATACTGGATGTCAAAATCAAATGCAGACAGCCGAGATACCCACCGCTGTCCTGTAGCATCCAACTTCGCCGAGGACATCACATACTTGAGGGGGTTGTTGTCTGTCTGGACCGAGAACCTACGCCCATAAAGATGGTCGTAGAACTTGTCCGTCACCGCCCACTTCAGAGCGAGGAACTCAAGTTTGTGTGCAGGGAACCTCGTCTCAGCTGGGCTCAAGCCTCTGCTAGCATAGGCTATGACTCTCTCAGCTCCATCCTGGACTTGAGCTAACACAGCACCAAGCCCCTCTCCTGAGGCATCAGTCTGAAGCACAAAAGGCATGCTGTAGTCTGGGTAGCCTAGCACTGGGGCAGTTGTCAACATTTCTCTCAGTGACTGAAAGGCCTCCTCACACTCATTAGTCCAGACAAAGGGTGGGTCAGGCCCCAGGCTTTTCTTTCCCCCTCTCCTTTTCTTTCGCGGGTCACCAGCAGTGAGGCGGTATAAAGGAGCAGCTAAGGTAGAGTAGCCGCTAACGTACCGCCTGTAATATCCAGTGAATCCAAGGAACTGCAGCACTTCTTTACGATTTGTGGGCCTCACCCAGTCCTTAACCCTGCTGATCTTCTCTGGGTCTGTCCTGATGCCCTCCGCAGACACCAAATGACCCAAGTAGTGCACCTCCCTTCTCACAAGTTGGCACTTGGAAGGCTTCAATTTCAAGCCATGCTCCTTTAGCCGATCAAACACAGGCTGCAACCTCTCAAGATGCTCATCAAAGGTTTTGGAGAATATGATGAGGTCATTGAGATAAATCAAGAGGTGGGTGAAGTTCAGATCCCCAAAACAGCAGGTCATGAGTCTCTGGAAGGTGGATGGAGCATTCTGCAGGCTGAAGGGCATTCTGTTGGCTTCAAACAGCCCCATAGGAGTGCTGAATGCTGTCTTGTGTTTATCATGCTCTGCCACTTCCACCTGCCAGTACCCAGATGTGAGATTAAGTGTTGAGAAATACTTTGCTTGCCCCAGAGCCTCCAGGGCCTCCTCTATTCTGGGCAGCGGGAATGCATCTCTTGTGCTGCAGGAGTTAAGCTTTCTGTAGTCTATGCATAACCTTAGTGAGCCGTCCTTCTTGGTAATGATCACTACTGGTGAGGCATATGGACTCTTACTAGGCCTGATGACTCCTGCTGTTTCCATTTCCATCAACAGCCTCCTCACATCTTGCCACTGAGAAGGGGGAATCTTGCGATATGGGAGTCGAAAGGGCTTTGAATCGACCAGGGGGATTTCTTGCTGCACTGTATTTGTGTGGCCATAGTCTGTGGGATGCTGAGAGAACACACCCATATTCCTCTCCACTAGCTCTTGAAGGAGGAAGCGCTGGTGCTCATTCTCCACTGCTGCCTCACTTAAGTCCACGCCACCACCTGCTGCCACTTGATTCAGACTCAGACA